CCCCGAAAAAAAAGCCAAACAAACGCACGTGCACAACAAGCAAAAAAATTACCACTAAGTTGTACAGGGGTCGTCGGGTGCTGTTTGGGGATTTAGACAAGGGTGGCAACAGGAGTTGCGCATCGAATTACAACATGCACACATAATGTAAACGTATGTTGCTTAGATCGAGGTCTCACAAAAGTTACGAACACGCAGACGTTGACAACCTTTGTTGAGGACCGGATGCATACAAAAAAAACAAACACAACCTATGTGTACTGCACGGAGCACACACCTCCATGTACTTCAGAAGCAGGACACTGTCTTTCCAACCCCTGCGCCCTTCCTGTCGGCAGAACCCTTACCCTTTGGTTAGAGGTGCGTTTTAGTTTTTATCCCGCTACATTAGTGACGCCTTCCCTTTGGGCAGCCGGCTAGCACTGCCAACACCATCACTCACGTGCCCAGCGTTGCAGTCAGGGCGGAGACAGGCCATGAGCCGCACCCAGTCTTCCCGACCAACGGTCCCGTCTTCCTCCCGCCTCAGCAGCATGAACGCGCGGGTTAGGGCAAGCCTACGCTGCTCCTTCACCCAGTTGTAGCTGTCAAGGCACAGGTAGGGGGTTTAGCGGTTACAGGGGATATGTAGAGACAGAGGGGGTATGTAAACGCATGCCATGCCGGGGGTGGAGAGGGGGGGGGGCGGGGGGTACTCATAGTCGTGCATGCCGTAGTCGTTAGACCATTGACCTCGCATCCCTACAAAGCCGGGACGGAGCACGCCGGGTTCTCACCGGACCAGGCTCTCACATCACCAAGCGCGAAGCGCCGTGAGATATTCGGCGAGTCGCATGAAGGGTGCGCTGCATCCTGCTAAGGGTGTTCGGCATCTTGTGCTTACTTCCTTGCGTACGGATGACAGCTGCGTATGACTTAATTTATTTTCTGGTGCTTTCACTTCCAGAGACAGTTGTAAGCACTGTGTAACTGCCTCGAGGGTGCTTGACCATTTTAACACAACGTGGTGCGATCATCCCCCTTGCGCGGAGCGGGTTCTCCACCCCGCACAACATGATCTACTCGACCACCATTATGGTTACCGCCAACAAAAAAACCGGAGGTAAAAAAAAAACGGTAACCTGGTTGCCGAGTTCACGAAGTGAATTGGCTTGTTTTACAACGTCGTTGCCAAGCGACGAAACCCAATCCCGATGGCAAACACCGGGGGGGCGGCTTGTTTTACAACGTCGTTGCCAAGCGACGAAAACCCAACCCCGATGGCAAACATCGGGAGCGGCGGCTTGTTTTACAACGTCGTTGCCAAGCGACGAAAACCCAACCCCGATGGCATATTTTTTCCTTATTTTTTTGCCAAGGCTGTGTCCCGTCAATGCCCCTGCAAGGCAGGAGACACGAGAAAAGAGCGGGGGGATGGAGAGACCGATGGTCTTGGGGAGAAGCAAACGCTTGAGCTACCTACCTATTCTTCCAATACGTTGTCATCGGAGAAATGTCATCCTGTACAAGTCAAGATGACGGTAACCAAGGGCCGACCGGAGACATACGACGAAACAAGGTATCGGAGCAACCACCGCTGGACGTCAACAATTCTGCGCAAAAGCCGACTACCTGCACTTCTTCCTTGTGTACGCTGTGCCGAAATGTGCTCTACCATTACTAGCGCGTACGTGTCTATCCACTATCCACACAGCAAAAATCCTCAAGAGGTGGGTTGCGTCTCTTGACTGTTTTTTCCTTTAATTTTCGGTTTTGGGGAGGACATATCGTAAAACAGCCCTGCGCACCTTACCAGTAGTGGAAAACGAAACCATCGATTGTTACCATGGCAGTACTTAGCTCTCGAAAGCGAGTTCAAAATACACACACTGTAAGAATCAACGCTGGGCACCACGTCCCTTTCCCTAGCACCCCCACCATCATCGTTGTCGTCGTCACTTGCCTCTCCTTGGACTGGTGCTGGAAGTTGCGATTGGCAACAGCAGGCACCAGCGCCCCCAGGAAGATGACCATGATCACGCCGTACGACAGGCCCATCACGCGGATGCCCTGTTGGCCGGGTCGAAGGGACAGAGAGATAGAGGAAACGTCACACGTAGACAGTGAGTGACACGCAAGAAGCGACGGGAGTGAAGGAGCAGTCCGAACCGAACACGCATGGAGTACGTGAACAGAGAGCACGAGAGACCCCCCCCCCCCC